AGATTACTTGTCACTGATCTAAGCAGCACACAACCCAATGCTTCCCACAGAACACCATCATCAAAGGAAAGAAAAGCTTTATAGCACACAGGGCCTCAAAAGGTGAATTCTAATGTAAAAGTAAATAAATAAATAAAAAGGCATGATCATGTTAGCACACAGAGCTTAAAACATAACTTTTAAACCAATTAACTATTTAGTAAATACAGGTTTTTTTTTATATCCTTTATCATAAGCAGATTCTTAACAGGAATTTTCAGTCCTCCTGAACGCTGGCAGCAACCATCTACCATATTCATAATAATGTTAAATTGCACTGAAAAGGTCTGGTAGACAAATTCTAAGTTACTGGGCAAGTTAAAAAAAAAAAAAGTATAAACTTAGTTTTGGCGGATTATATTCATATTTTCCTCAAGTCACATATTAGTAAAAATATCCTGTCCTGGGATATCAGGGCATATTGTTTAAAATAATTAATAAATAAATAAATAATAAATAAATAATAGCTTAAAATGGGAAGCCAGCTAGGTGGGTAGGAAAGGGAAAGGCACAACCCACTGCCCCAAAGGCTTAATCTTGTTCAAGCCTGTTATCAGACAGGAATAGTTTAATAGTAATAGGCAGTTTTGCCTCTACTTGTGGAGAATATTAACACTACTCGTGAATACACTTACTTGCATTTACAATCATAGTACAACTGCACATACAGCTGCATAAAACCTGTCAGAGTAACACTGCTTGTTGAACTGGAATAAGCTTACATTAGGGGAGGGAGGAAAAAGAGCTAGGCAGACTCCTCATAATCATAATTATGCCTCTAGAGGCATTAACACAAATCACATCTCAGCCTAACAGCTGTATTATTGTGCAGCATTAGCCATGCTACCAGTGCAACATATTCATGCAGGAGCACAGATCTCAAGGCTACATATCGTAAGCAGGCCCACAGTCTCACTAGAATGATAAAATACTGAATTTAAACATTTCTTATACTGCTTGTAGACAGAATAATGAAGACAATGCCTTCTTAAACTTTTATTTAATTTTTTTTCAAGTTGGTTATTTGGTCAGTTATCATGGAAAGAACCAAAAGCAATAAAAGGGATGAGTGGAACAAGGATGGATGTCTCAGAAAGCTGTTTGTGGGGCCGTCACTGAAATTCCGGCCACAAATGATTTGGAGACACCTGGGAAATCAAAAATGTTTAAACTAGAAAAAACAGAGAAAGATAATTACAACTGGAAAATGCTTGTTTTAAAGGAGCCCTTAATATTCAGCTTTAAATCTCATCCACAATTACATACAGTATCTCCAGACAAGCACACTTAAGTTGTCATATTTCAACTATCCCTCAAAATGTGAGTAGCGGGTTATGAAGAGAAGGAACATCCCTGATTCAGAGCAGAGAGCAAGAAACACTTCCCAGAAACACCCCGCAACATGACACTGATTTTCTCCATAGCTTGCTTGAACACTTCAATTCTGTGAATGTGCAAGCTGCAGAACGGTTACAGGGAATAGCGGGGGATTCTTTCTGCTGTCTAACTGAGCATCATGATGAACTTCAGACCTTTTAGGTGCACCCAGCCAACTGTTCAGGACTTCATAGAGATGTTAAGAAAGAAGCTGATAATAAATGAGTCAGGAGAAAAAAGAAAAAAATATATAGATTTTTTAAAAAATCTATTCAGATCTAAGTCATAAGCAAAGCTCCAAAGCTACAAGCTATTTAGGGTAGAATAAAAAAAGGGCCGTACTTTGGAAGAATCCCAGAAAGCCCTCATAACAGATATCAACAACAACGGGGCAGATGAAATCAATAAATATTTGCTTATAGAAATTGAAGGAAAAAAAAATATATTTCTGCTTGCCAAATGACAGGTTCAGTGCTCAGCGCGGCCACTGGGCATGAACGGATGCTCCCAGGCTGGAGTAGCCGCCCACAGGTGGAACCCCAAGCAGAGGAACCTCACCAGCAGAGGGGGAGAAAAAAAGAAAAAGAAAATAAAGAGAGGGCGGCACCTCAGGCCCGGCACGACGAGAGAGAAGGAGACACGCGGGGCGCGGGCCACACGCTCGGGACACGCGCGGAGGCCGCGTCCCCCTCGCGCACGGGCTCGAGGAGCGCCCACCTGCTTGTTGGCCTCGTCGAAGAAGACGCAGTTCACGGCGTTGGCCTTCTCGAAGTGCACGGGCCGCGCGCACAGCGCCAGGTAGCAGCCGCCATCGCCCTGCCGCTCTCCTCCTCCGCCTCCCTCTCCTTCCTCTCCGCCCGGCGCCTCTTCCTCCGGCGGCGCCTCGCGGCTCATGGCGGCGGCGCGCGACCAACGGCCACCAACGGTCCCCGCAACGGCCGCGCTCGCCCGCTTCCTGTTTACACCTCCTGACCACGTGACGCGGCGCGGCCGGCGCTTAAAGGCGCAGGGGAGACAGGGCCAGGCGCGCGCGTCACCGCCGCGAGAAGCCCCGCCCCCTGGCGCGCACACGTCATCGCCGCGAGAAGCCCCGCCCCCGAGGCGCGCGCCCCTCCCGCCCCCCCCCTCGCGGCGCTGCCGTCACGGCGGCCGTTGGGCGCTGCCAGAGGCGCTGCCGCCGCCTGGCAGGAAGCGGAGGGCGAAGGGAGTAAAAGCTCCAGCTGGTCCATGGCCCTGGTCCTGGCGCCGCTGCCGGCGCTGGTATCTAATTCGATACCCCCCCTTTCCCGAAGCGCCCACCGTGGCTGTGTTTTCCTGTACCTTGCGGTACACAGCCCTTAGATGAACACCTAGGTGCTGTGCTGGCCCAGGGAAAGTTCTAGCTCTCACAAGAAATGAACACCTGGACTGTAGGAAAATAAAAAAATAAAAAAAATAAAATAAAAAAAAAAAAAAAGAGAAAAGAAACTGAGAGGAAAAAAAGGGAACCAACTGCTTCCCAGCCCTTCCATTAATTTGCTTATGCTTCACTTTGTATTTTCTAACACACTGCTGAGAGCAATGCTGCCGTTCAGGCGTTTAACTGCGTTTTAGCAGCTACGGCTATAAAATCTATCATAAAGAGAATGTACATTTTATACTTTAAAGGCTCCTTACTTCAGGACTTAAACAAAGCATTGTTTGTGTATGTTAATGTTAAAATAAATGCTGAAATCCAGATGCTTCTCACACTGCATGCTTATTCCTCACGTGCACCTCGGTCTGGACAAGAAGCCAGCGGGCGCCTGCTCCCTGCACGGCTCTCCAGCCCTTTCCCTGGGAGAAGCGCTGTGAGCTCCTGCCCTGCTGCCCGACCGGCACAGCCGAGGGGCAGGAAGGGAAGGAAGCGCCACCGCTCCGAGGGAAAACAAACCCGTGCAGAGCACACCACTGCAACGCTGCGCGTTACACAGCAGGGGTACAGGCTGCTAGAGGAGAAACGCCAGTGTAAGGACCCCTTTTTAACACGGTAGCCTGCACACAACTGCTCGCTGACCTGTGAGCCACTTGGACCCAGCCCAACGATTTCACATGAAACTCGAGCAAGCGAAGCACCAAGCTGTTCGCTCTGCCAAACCTGTTCTGCCTGACCAAATAATTACACGGTGGCTAGAGAGGGCCATTGCTAGCAGAGGGTTCCAATCACTGTCACGCTTAACGATTTTTAGAAAGTACTCATTGTGTATTAACTAAAACTTTTGGCTAATTCAAGGTCAAAAATTTGGAAGTGATACCAGTGCTCATCTTTCCACTGTTTCCCTGCAGGGCAGTATTTCACCTTTCTAGTACCACAAGTGGAATATGCATGTGGCAAAAAAATGAGGTGAGGGGAAAAACCAGCCACTGAATAACATTCAACTTAGTGACATCCTAGAACTGACCATCGCAACAGTCACAACCTCAAATGTTAATGAAAACAGTGTCTAGGATTTTGACCATGAAAATCTAGACTTAAGAGATTCAAGTTGCCTAAAAATAATGAGATATTTTACTTTATAGGAGTTGCAAAAAATGCTTGTTTTAGAAGTGTGGGGTTTTTTTTCCTACAATCTCTAGGGACTCCTGAGGAAATTTTAGTGATGGAAGTGAGCAGTTGTTTAAGCAACAGTATTTTGCCAAAGAGGAATAGGCAGGCCCACTGGCTTTAAATCACAGGCCTAGAGAACAGTGTAGAGATCAGGATTTCTTGGTTGTTTAAGTCTGTGTTAAGGAGATTTTGGGGGGGGGGAAATCACTGAGCAGCACCTGCAGTAGCACCCTGCCACTGGCAATTTCCTTTATCTCAAATGAACATTTACTTCACCATCACCCCCTTTTTTCCTGCTCTTTTTTATTTCCTATCTTATTTCTGATGGAAACACCCTTCTTCACAATTTACTGCAGCGCAAACTCCTTGTCCAGCAATGACATCAGCAACTTATTTGGAAACAACCTTTGTCCCTAAGAAACCAATAGCAATATTCAAACTTTAAACAGAGCTAGACTATGACCACACTTTTCTTTTAAAAGCCTTTCTTGACACTTTGGGAAGAGTTTGAAAATATTTAACAATATCTCACAGTGCCTCTGTACCAGGATGTGGTCTTCTGTTCTTTCCCTTGTGCTAAGTTATTTTTGGCAGCTGCTTCATGCTGTCATTAGGATTTTTTTTGTCTCTAAAAAAGATTTAAGTTCCTCTATTTAGGAGAGTAAGGGGCAAAAGGCAACGTGACTGTCTAATTCAAAAACAGGGAACAGAACCCATGTTCCAGATAGGAAAGGTACAGAAGGTTGCTTAAAGTAGCTATCAAAACAGTGAATCATTCTTTATATTATAACGAAGTCACACCCTAACAGCACCTTGTTGCATTGAGCACGATGACCAACACGCTGCTTTTATAAAGAACCAGGAAAAAAAAATTGCCACAATATCCTTTTACTTTGCCATCAGTTTTCCAATAGAAAAATTACTTCCACAGCACACTGTGAGAACGTCACACCTAGCACCACTATATTCTGCTTGATAAAGGGCAGCAGCAGAAAGAGCAACCAGAAGTTAAAAAGAAGGTGACCAGAATTTAATTCCATTGTGCTACATCAGTTCATCTTTAAACATGTTGGAAAGAAACTCTGCTAGATTTTTAGAGCTTGATAAAATAGTTACTAAGTGTTACACACAAACATTCAGAAACACTGACATTGAGAATAAAAGCATCAGAGAGACAAATGATTTTGAGATTTGTGCACTTGTACGCAAAAAAGATTTTTTTAATAATTCTGATCAGACTTGGTTCTCATAGCCAAGGACTACTTTCCACGTGAAAAAGAATGATGCTCTACTCTGAATTCCACTGTGGGCTACAAAATTAATAGAGAGAATTACTTCTGGCTTGCACCAGGTCCTTAGAAAGACCTCTGTGTTAAAAATGAAGCTAACTCAACTTGCTCTTTGCTACACAGCCAGGTGAGAGCCCTCGGGATTTCCTGGATGATCACCACAGACATCTCTGCTGCTGGTTGGTTTCAAATCCCTGTTTCTCTTGGAATACCCCATTACATTCACAGAGGTAGTTTGTGCTACACTCCCATTTACTTTAAATTAAAAAGTCTAGATTTTTGCATATACAAAGACATTGTTAAATGTTAAATTAACATTTTCACAATATGACAGCAGCCCCTGGTTTCATTTTTCATTTTGCTCTAGGGGAGAAGAGCAATGTTGACATTGTGCCTTCACACACTTTTTAAACTAGCTTTGCAAGGAACAACAGGAAAGAGAAGAGGGACTCCGCCAGAATGCTTTTCCATGAATACCTTAGACAATCTAGATTAAAAAAAAAAAGAAACAAAAATAAAACCTAAAACACACAAGCTCTGAATCATGCAAAATATGACCACCTCGGCTACATTAATCACGTAAGTAACTGGACAGCTGGTGAACATCCACGGAGGCAGCGACATTCTGTTCTCACAGTGCAGCCTCACTTGAGGGCTAAATTAATTAAAAAACAAAACCAGAAACACTGACGCATCACCAAAGGCTTGCTGTGTTTTCCATTTTGGTATTGGAAGCCAGCCACTCTCTCCGGATAGGGGGAGCTGACTTTAACCACTGCACCAACACAGTCAGAAGCAGCAAAGGTCTGTTTCTTGCTTAGCAGCTACACGCACTGCTATTCACCACAGACAGGCGGGTCCCCGTCGCCTGGAAATGCAGATGCTTTCTTTCCATGTTTCTGCACGTGATCTTCATTCATCTTCTCCAAAGCCTCAATCTAGAGATCCAAAAACAAAGCCATTCTGAAACTCAACCATGCCGCACAGGGGCCTCTCCAAGTACTGCTGAAAGGTAGATTTAGGTGACTGACCACATATAAAATATTTCTATTTCAGTGATTCAGCCGAATGTACGATGCAATATGCTTGAAACATACTATTTTTTTTCATGATTTTGTACAGCAAACGGCACTCCTTTTATAACTTCATGCTATATAACTTAAATACATGAGTTACACGATGTTTTGTCATCTTCACTGATATCCATCGACGTGCAAGAAAAGTCCTTTCTCCATCTCTGGACACCTTTGCTCTAACTTGGGCCATCCATCAGTATTGGAGAAATTCCTAGTCAAATTAAGACTACAAACCCATTGCCATCATTATCAGAGAAGCAAGACAGTTACACTTAAAATGTTTTGCACAATGAAAGTACCACTGTTCTAGAGCTTAATATTGATCTTCAGACTGTTGTTAGGGTTATCTCTCTTGGAGTGCAAGAGGAAGTAAGTTTAAGTTTTTAGGGACCAAAATTTAAGTTTGATGTTTTGAAAAAGATAGAGTGGCTGCTGCAAGTTAGAAACATAAACACGCTAACTAAATTCAAAAGTTAAAGAATTAAAATAGTTGATAGCTCACCAAATTAAAGTGTTAAACACAATGAAAGTTATACCTCTGCCTGGAAGTCCACTTCAGTGTCAGCTGTTATATTTAAATTTGAGACAGCATTGAAGAGTTCACGCTCATTAAGTGCTTCTGTCACACCTCCCTTCTGGAAGAACTATTCAATACAAGAAGAAGACATTAAGCAGTGTCGTTAGTGCACGATAGCTTTCCTTTTCCTTTCACAAACTACAACTGCTACTTTTTAGTGTGTTTTCATGCTTGTTGACCTACAGACAAGATAAAAATTGAAATAAGTATTAAATTTTAGTAGTATCACCTTATTCATCTATAGCTAATTCCCCTTAGAGGAACACCATTCAATATGGACAAATTTCTCAGGCTGACCTCACACACCGATGGTGACGATCACTTTAAAACATTGAACTGCTTTATTTTTCTACTAGCTTTGCACTGAACTGATGTCGTTTTCCCTGGAAACATTCGTGTAAGAGTCGGCTGTCAGATGAAGATGTCTTACCTGGGAAACGTTCCTGCAGTCTCTGAACAAAAACTCAAGCCCATGAGGATGGGTCGGCTCCACAGACTGACTGACATCAATGAGCCACACCTACGGTCACAGCAGGACAACAACTCCTTCGTATTAAGGTTTCATAACAGGTGGAACCTTTGCCTCCCCCATGAAGCATACACTACCTTTCCCTCATGCCAAAGCATGTTGTATTCACTCAGGTCAGCGTGGACCAGATTGCACTCTTTATACAGCTGCTGCATCATCTGCAGGGAAATCAAACCAATGGAGAAAGAAAACAGGTATGTTCCCATCAACATTGTCTGCATGATCATAACAAAACAGGCCACTTCCCCACCCCATCTTGTATAATTTTTGCAAGACTAAAGTAAAGCTTCATACAGGCAACTGCAGTTTTAGTAAACTACCTGCAAGCTCGAGCTTTTATCACTGAACTTGCTCTTGGTAAGTCGGAAGAATATCTCTGATAAATGGGTACAAATTGAAACAAAAGAAGTCCCATCTGCATGTGAGGAAGAACTTCTTCACTGTGAGGGTGACAGAGCCCTGGCACAGGCTGCCCAGGGAGGCTCTGGAGTCTCCTTCTCTGGAGATCTTCCAAACCCGCCTGGAAGCCGCCCTGTGCCCCGTGCTCTGGGTGTCCCTGCTGGAGCAGGGGCTTGGACTAGCTGATCTCTAGAGGTCCCTTCCAAACCTCAACCATTCTGGGATTCTGTGTTGTATTCGCCAGTAAGTGCAAGTCTATTAGACAGATAGAAGTTCTCTAAAAATAGCTAACATTCTCATCCCTATTACAGGGGAAGTAAGTGTCACATTCCTCCCTTACATACTTTCTTGTTTATTCTAAGTCATTCTTTAAACAGCAGTAAAATAATCTCGTGGACTCTGTATCTTGAAAGTGTTGCAAGCATGCTGAAAAGTACACAGATGTCAATTTGTCCTTTCAGTAACATTCCTAAAAGAAGATATAAGCCATACTGTAGAAAAAAAAATAGAAAAAAAAAAAAAGCAGGCTCACATGAAGAACCTGATAGTAAGCTTTTTTCATATCTTCACTACTAAGTTTTACATCCTTTAGTTTGGGAGCTGGGGCTTGATCCTGGCCAATGAAAGACATAACCAAGACATGTTTCTTAAGGATAACCACTTGAGGACAAGGAATTCCTGCATTTTGCATCCTGTAAACAGAAAATAGACATTACTTAAAATAATAGATATTAAAATATGTATTTTTTATAACACAAACATATATGTTGGTGTTTATATGTTATGTGTATACACATACATAAATTCTAGTTCTTGCTTGCTCCTTTGCATAAAGAATTGCAGTGAGCAATTTCATCAAAAGAGTCAAATTTCTGACAAATTATTGAATGAGTCAATTGATCAAAAGAGCCAAAAAAAACCTATCCAGTATTTCACATAGGATAATTTGGATCTTAAAGTGGTCATAAAAGGTCTCAAAACTAACTGCCTTTAGAGCTATAACCAGATAATATCAAGGACTTATGAGCTCCCAAATTTCAAGTTGTTTATAAGTCATTAAACCATCAGAAAATAGAAGCTTAGTCAGCCTATGTATTCCAGCTCTTAGATTTATTTAGCCTAAAATAAACAAATAAATAAATAAATATCTAGACTTCTACCCAGTCCTAGAGAGGAGTTCCCCATAAACAGGGAACAGGAAGCTGACAGTGTTTGATAACTGCATGGTTTTGTACCTTGTCAAGTTATGCATTTCCTTCTCAGCCCACATACGAATAATTTTACGCGGATTCAATTTGCTGAAGCGGTCTTTAAATCTGTAGTCATCTTTAATATATTTGTCACGGTTCTTGAATTCATTAAGAGTTGTTTTAAACACTTTGATGGCACATTCTGGAGGTATAACTTTATCTTCTTCATTTGTACTTCTAAGGGAAAAAGTCAAATATATAACAAAGTTAATTCACTCACATCCCTAAAGTAAAGCCCTGTGTTTACTTGTAATACTGCAAGATGCAGTGATTTTTAAGCATAAGAGAGGAAAAGCTCTGATTTTGTATCAAGTTTGGAAGTAGATTCACGTTAAATCTGTAAGAGTTCTATGATCATTTTTAGATCTTGAATGTTTGTTTTGGGGAATTTTGATTATATGCTGTTTCCCAAATAGGTATTAGATAATTTAGTTAGGAATCACAACTAAAACCAGGTCTGTGGATGCACAGAATTATTTCAGGGTCATCATGAATGAAGTAAATTATTGCACTAGAATGACAACCCTAGTCACACTGCTTTCTGCCATGCATTGCAAAAGATGTTGCCAGTTGAGTTGTAATCATCAGTGGAATCCTCTTGAAAATCATTCAAATATGATCGAGAAAAATACAGATCTTACTCCTACTACTCTCTTTCACATTTCAAACAGATTATCTACATTGAATTTAATTAATACTAATACAGTTTAAATAAGGGTGTCAATCATGATTTCTACATAGTCTGAAGTCTGACACAGCTTCCAAAGGCAACAGTTTCCCAATGTTATTCCTGAGCTACTCTAAAATCAAAAAAGAAAACCTCTACTAAACTGCACAGGTGGAGGTGGGAGCTGATAAAACAGTGATTTGTATGGAAAGACATCTTCAGGTGAGCAGAGATCATCATGACAGCTCCCTACGTGCGAGGTGGGTCACTGGAAAGAGCTGCCAAAAGCTTAAGAGATTTGTGTGTACAGAAAAGGCTCTTTACAGCAGTGGATTTGTCCCTGTTCACTAAATACCTTCCAGGGAAGTAAATAGTAACATATTCTGAAAAAATGTCACTGTGTACATTACTAAAATGTCAAATTTGGAGAAAGAGATTAAAAAGGTAGAATGTTTAGAGTATTTCTGTGGTTTCCCCTTCTAATATCATATATATAGCCAGTTAAGATTCATATTGGTAACAAAAAACATACATACTTTCCTCCATATGCATGAAAAACAACAGATTCTTTTCCTGTGCTGATGCAGCCTGTAATGGTCTCCAGCATCCCAGAATTGACCATCTTGTACAGAAGTAAACGTGTCTTAGGATCCACTGCTTTCTCCTACAAATGTAAAATGAATATTCCATTCATTAAGGTCATTAAGGTAAAGCATTTATATACTGCAGATTAACTGGTGTTTAACTGGTCACCTCATCTTCCTGACAGGACTACAAGACCAGCGTTCAGTTGTTACACAAAATAAAGGGTATAGAAGGCAATTAGAAACATACAGCAGTGGAGTGCTCCTTCTTTTCATGGAGCCGGGCGCTTCGGCGCTCCTCGGAGTACGCGTGCTGCTTTAAGGCATTGAACACTTGATTGGACAGCTTTAAGTCCATCCCAATTCCATCCCCGACCTGGAATTCCGGTGCAAACTGCAAAGAGATACAACAGGATTTTTAGCACTATTATTATCAGGCGTCCTTTCCCTCCTTCCCTCTCCCCCACAAAAAAGGCGTACGCAGAAGTTTCTTACTCTGATCTGCAAAAACTTAAGGTAAATTAAGACCTGAGTGGCAATGTTCCACCAAGTGGGTTTCACAGAGGCTGAAGATGTGTTTCTCTAAATTCAGAACTCAAAATTGTGCCTCAAATAAATGAAAAAATTAACATCCTGTAAAAATCCCACTTGCAGCTGTACCAATTACAGTAAGGCAGAATTACAAGATGGATAAACAGATTAAAAACTGTGTTTCAAACAACCGTCAAAGTAAGTTGTTTAGGTGAGCATGTGAAATGAGTTCAGAAAGTTTAGACTGCAAGGGCTTGCAAGAATAACCTCGATGCTTTACTTGAGTGAATACCAAACTTCCTGGTAACTTTTCTTTAATCAAAACAATTTGGTGCAGGTTCTGGAGTACTTTTACTAGTCTAACAAGTTTAACATTATACTTAACAACTGTTAACAGTTGACAACATATTAAACAAAACAGAAAATGCACAACCCAAATTCCTACTTTGAATAACTAATCCAAGCATTATATTGCCTTCATACCATAGGGGAAAAAAAAAAAACCCACCACACATGTAATGAACAGTAGCACAAACACTGATTCTTTAGTTGAAGTAAAGCATGTCAAACATTTCTATAAGATATATTTCTATATAAATAATACACAAACACACACACATTTTCTGAAGTGTTCACTTACATTTTCCATGCGAGCAGTGTTCTTTCTTCCACATACTACTTCGTCATGCTTAGTAGTAATGTCCTTTCCCTTTCCTATGAAGCCTTTCTTTGGAGTAGTAGTAGGTTTATCTGCCAGTAGTGAAAAAAATCACTCAAAATTTGCCTTTAAGTAAATGTAACTAAGGCTCAAAAAAAAAGTACAGTTATTATTTATTAAAACAAATTACTACTTCACTTGGGTCACTTTAACACCATTATCTCCTCTTATTCTAAAGGTGTCAGCTTCTTTTGCTAGTCATGACTACTCCTGCCTTCTCTGGGGGGTCATTTTTTGGGATGTTACAGCTGTGATGTTCCATATGATGTGCAGATGTCTGATACAGACTCCAGCTAAATACAGTGACAGTTATACTACACATCCCATATAATAATTATTAGTTCAGACTCACCCACCAAAGCCAGAGAGAGCACTAGCAGAAACCTGAAGTTACCAGACTGACTTCCTGCGCTGCACCTTACAGCCAGGCGACCTGTTTCCTTCACTGTCCGTCCCCTCGCGTTCAGGATACCCACGTGTGGCATTTTCTTAGGTCTATCTATGTACTGTTTCAGATTCCCACATACCTGCTCTGTAGGGATCATGCCGGGTATCTTGCCAGTCAACCTCATCCTCTGAGCTGTCGCTGTCAAAGGGATGCACCTTCCGATAGTTTTCAAAGGATATGGAAACTTGAAAGAATTAAAAAAAACCACACACATTTGCATGTGTCAGCGATTCGGTGCTTCCTCATAGCTCTGTCAACTTAAACAGTGTGTCATAAAATACCTCCAAAGCAAGGATATTCCTTTAATAAGAGTACCTTTGCTATCTCCATTGAACTTCTTCTCCTCCCGCCGAAGCTGTGCGTCATATTCCCTGTCAAATTCCATCTGCAGCATCTGCGCTAGCATGAGGTCACTCGACGTGTCGATATTTTCTCCTGTAACGAACGGTCCTTCGGCAACACTGCACAAGGCAAAAGGAATAGAAACCAAAACTTAGCTCAGAACAGTGGGTTAAACACAAACACTACTTTATTTCATTAGTTTATAGAAGAGACCTTGTATAAAACATAGAAGTGAACGTGTCTAAACTTTACAGATCTTAGAAAACAAAGCCCTAAAGAGCAGGAGAGCTCCATTTCTCGCCCTACCGCTCCTCCGCGCTGGAAACGTTACCTATTCCCCGTCCTGCAAGAGGCACCGGGTTCTGCTCTCTCACGGAAAGGGCGCCCCAAGGCTGAGCCCGGTGCGGCCCTGCTGGGCAGGCAGCGCCTGAGGAGGCCCGTTAACGGCCGTTTAACGGCGCTGCCGCGCGAGGCGGGGCGCAGGCCCCCCCGGGCCCCGACTTACGCGGCCGCCGCGGGGAAGGCGGCGCTCTCCTCCTCCAGCTGCAGCTCCTTGGCCAGCTGCTCGCTCATCACGTCCGCCAGCGAGCACGACAGCGGCGCGCCCTTCGCCGCTCCCCACGGGCACTGGGAGACGAATTCGGGAAAATAATAAGAAAAAAATATTTTTGTTTTTTTTTAATTTGCCCCCCCTCCCCCGTCACGGGCTGCCCCTCCCGCGCTCACCTTGCGCGGCCACGCGGGGCCCGGCCCGGCCTCGGCGGGAGCGGGGGCGGCGGCGACTCCCACCGGGTCCATCGCGGCGGCGGCGGCGGCGTTCGGGTCACGGAGCCCTTCCGGGTCCCCCCCCCCCGCCGCCCGCCC